GCCGGCGGCCGGGCCGGGGGGGGACAGCCCAGCCAGTCTGCCACCAGCGTCCTTCAGCCCCATGAGTCCACCTGGGCAGCCCAGGGCAGGGCAGGGCCCCCTGCCCCTCGACCCCGGGGAACATGGTGGTGCCTGCTGGGGAGCATGTGGAGGAGCCTGAGTGAACACGCCGGGAGCAGCTGCGCCGGGAGCCTGCACTCTCCTGTTTACACTGTGGGGCCTCTCCCGGCCCTGCCGCCTGATAACCCGTCCTTCAGCCCCATGAGTCCACCTGGGCAGCCCAGGGCAGGGCAGGGCCCCCTGCCCCTCGACCCCGGGGAACATGGTGGTGCCTGCTGGGGAGCATGTGGAGGAGCCTGAGTGAACACGCCGGGAGCAGCTGCGCCGGGAGCCTGCACTCTCCTGTTTACACTGTGGGGCCTCTCCCGGCCCTGCCGCCTGATAACCCCGTGTTTGCGTAGGCAGGGCTGGGGCGGGCACCCTTGCTGCCGTGGCAGCCCTGGCTCTGCTGGCCCCGCCACCACGGTGGCCACGGACGCCTGCCTGGTGCTGCCCTCCCCAGCCCCCTGCTCCCCGCCAGCCCTTCGCAGCAGGGCGGCTCCCTCCTTCCATGGGGACGAAAGCAGCCCCCTCCCAGCGGGGACAAGACCCTGTGCCTGGTCGGGAAACCTCAGGCACCCTATACCCACCAGGCCAAGGGCAGGACTGCGGCATGGTGGCCGTGATGCCCTCGGTGCCTGTGGCCATGGCTGCTGGACCCAGCAGAGCAGGTGGCATCACCGGCACCCAGCACCCCAAGCCAGCCTCCCTCCTGGCACAGGGTGTCGCAGCCGAGCAGGCAATGCTGTGCCAGGATGCTTAGCCCTTTGCTGTGCCTGTGCCTGGGGCAGGAGGTCCTTGTCCTCATCCTCTCTGCCCCACCACGACAGCTCTGCTCCCCACTGGAGCCTGCTCCTGCCAGAAAGCCCCTCCTGGCTCCACTGCTGCCTGCGACAGCCCGAGCAGGGCGATGGGGTCAGACCCCGCTCGCCCCAGCTGCCTCTGCCCAGCTGCGAGGTGCAGGAGGTCCCACTTACCGCCTGCCCGGCCCCTTGGTGCCTCCAGCCCCGCTCTCTGGGCTGCTGGCTCTGGCACTGGCTGGCCCGGGGACAGCAGCTTCGGTGCGGCTGCCAGGTGGCTCTGCGTTTCCGGGCGGGAGAGCAGAGCCTGTTTTACCGTGGAGTTGAGACAAAGTCCACAGGCGATGGCCGGGGAGCCGGGGAGCGCACCACGCCCGTGGCAGGGTGTGTGTGTGGCTCACTGGGCTGGCACCAGGCAGAGTTGGGGTCCCACCGTCCTGGGAACGAGCCCTGGCATCCTGGCCCCAGGCAGAAGCGGTACCCACACCAGCCTGGGGGTGGGCAGAGACCCACAGCCACGCGGTGACGGGACCTGGGGGGCCCTGACTCCAGTGCTGCCCCTTGGGACAAGCAGGAAACCGGGCTGCCATGTCCCCTTCACCTGGGCACGCCGCCAGCGTCATGCCTGCATCCCTTTCCTCCCAGCATCCTGGTTCCTACCTGCCTCTTCCTACCTGCTCTTCTGGCGTGGCCACGTGTCCATCACCCAGCACCGGGGCTGGCAACACAGTGGTGCCGGGACAGCATCCCAACTGCACTGCCCTTACCTATGCCGTGGGCTCCAGGGTGGCACAAGAGGACCTGCCGCGGCGTGGTGCACCTGAACATCTCCCTTGCCTGGTGTCACCATCGGTCTGGGGACAGACACCTCTGAGGCAGCGTCAGGGGCTGGAGACACGCAGGGGTGTGAAAGCGCAGTGCCCCTGCCCCTGCCTGGCTGGCCGTCACCATGGTCAGGCCCCACTTAGCCACAGGAGGGAGGAACCGAGGGGATTTATTCTGCTGGGAGAGACCTGTCCAGGCTGGATCCCAGCCAGCCGGGCAGCTCCTGCCTCTGCCCCATGACAGTTGGCTCCGGTGCTGCCAGGGGGGAATGGGGCGCTCCGTGCCGGCAGCGGCGGGTGAGTGTGGGCAGCGCAGGGAGGCGGTGGAGATCCCCCATGTGCTGCCTGCCGTGCCGCTGGGCTGGCGTCGGCTTTGCTGGGGCTCGCAGGTGATGGGTGGGTGATGGCACCGAGGCCTGAGCACTGGGGCACAACCCTGCCGGGATGAAAGGGCAGCGCAGCACTGCCAGGGCAGCACAGGAAAGCTGCCGAGCAGAGGAATGGCTCCGTCACCCCCAGTGACAGCACAAATGCCCCTGCACGTGGCTCTTGCATCCGTGAAAGAGCTGGAGGGGTGAGGCTGTGGGAAGCCTCTGGGCAGGAATGAGAGGAGTCACAGCCCAGGCAGTGAAGGGGCAGCAGGGCCCATCCCCGTCATCCTCATCCCCAGCATCCCCATCCCCTCATCCCCAGCATCCCCATCTCCAGCATCCCCAGGATCCCCATCCCACCCGTCCATGCCCAGTGCCCACGCCGGGGTGCCAAGTGCGGGTGCCAAGCATTGGGGTGCCGACCCCGGTCCCCATGCAGAGGGCGGAGGCGCCAGGCTGGTTGTTCACACAGTTTATTTGCTCGGTTCGGGTGTCTTACAAACAACGGGGAGGGCCGGGGAGGGGGAGAACTTCAAACGGCTTCGGCACGAGTGAAAAGCACGGGAGCGCGGGAAGTGCACTTCAGCGGAGCCAGGTGGGGGGCGGCAGGGGCTGGCTGGGACAGGGCTGGGGCAAGCCGCC